CTATATCTAGAGTTACACGGGAACCCAAGTGGATATTCAAACCTACTGAGCAGGAACAGTAGCCGTAGCCTTTTCGCCAGCACCGTTCTTACCAACCTCCCATGCAGTCACCTCGAGCCCACCATCCGCGCCGAGAAGGAACTGAATCTCAAGAGTTGTCCTCCACCTTCCGTTTGATTGTCGGGCCTGCTTAGCCTCCAACACCAAGGCAGTGAGCAAAGTTTCTTTTTCGAGAGTTTTCTCCTTGACCTCGATATCTTCCTCTTCCTCCTCTTCCTCCTCTTCACCTTCCTCGTACTCCAAAGGTGGCGGCTTGACCTTTTCGGTCTTGACACCCTCCTTAACTTCCCAGACCTCAAAGCCGGCTTTCTTCTCACCCTCGCCTTCGCCGAGATCGACATCGAGCTTGAACTTCCGTCGTGCGGGAAGAGCGGTCTCACGAATGACGGCAGGGATCCATTGACCTCCCAAGGAACTGTCAGCATCCTCAGGGAAGAGCATGCCGATGGTCTTGGTGGTGAACTTGGCAGCGGACCACTGGCTTCCGCTAGCGAAAGCCTTCTTGACGTCCTTCTCCTCGTCGGTGTTCTCGGGGAGAGAAACGAGGAGTTTGGCCTGGAGGGCGCATCCACGAGAGAGAAGCGTAGTCGGGTCGCCGACACCACCGCCGACAACTGTGCCAGCAGTGAAGGGAGTGACAACATCCTCTGACAAGCCCTGTGTAAGGACACTGTCGAGACCGGGAAGACTAGCCGAGCCACCAACATATACGATCTCGTCGATGTCATAGAGATCAAGGCCGGCAGCCTCTACAAGCTCCTGGACCTTCTTGAAGACGTGGTCGTAGATGGAGCGCATCTCCATGTCGAATCGAAGGCGGTTAATATTAGCAGTAAAATCAAGACCATCCTTCAAAGACTCGACGGAGCATGTAGCTGCACCTGTTGAAGCGGAAAGAGTACGTTTGGTGTGCTCGACGGCAAGTCTGAGCTTGGCTTCGGCACGCTTGTCTTGAGTTTCGGTAGCAGGAGCGACGGTGAGAGGAGTCTTGGTCTTCTTTGTGAACTCTTTAGCGAAGAATTTGATGAGTTTGTCATCGATGTAATCACCACCAACGGTATGGTCTGAAAGTGTCGCGAGGGAGTGGGCAAGCCCGTGACGAAGAGAAAGCAAGGCCAACTCAACGCCAGAAGAGCCTAGATCAACGACGAGTTGAGTACGGTCAGCAGGAAGGTTCTCAGATTGAGGACCGCTGGTCGTGGCGACGATAGTTGCGCCAGCTTCCTCAAGAAGTTGGAGAACAACGATACCAGCGTCAGAGGCAGCTTTCTCCAAAGCAGCCCTTTGGGCGTCGCCGAACCAGGCAGGAATGCTGATCACGGCACCCTGAACCTTCTTGCCAAGGAAGTCCTCTGCGGATTGGACGAGAGATTTGAGGAAGATCGAGGTGACTTCCAAAGGAGTGAGAATACGTTCAGCGGGAGTGGGCTCAGAACGGGGAGTAGGTGCAGATGAAGCTGCTGGGGTATTGGTGCGAGTGACGGGAAGAGGGGTAGGTGCGGCTTGGAGGATCTGCACCTTGTATGCAGGCTCGTCTGCAATATCTGGGTGCTGGATGACTGGTGCAGACACGACGGGCTTGTCAGTCTTAATCTCGGAGAATCTGGAGCGATATGAACATATAAATTCAAAGTTCTTCAAGATGATATTGCATACTTTTTGCCAAGGAGGTTTCGGAAACCAATGATGGTGTTTTGGGAGTTCTTAACTAGTTGTTGCTTGGCTTGGCTGCCGATATACTAGGAAGCGTTATCATTCAGCAATAGTTCAATTTATATGTATCAAATACGCACAATCTCCTCGCCGTGGAAAGAAATCGCACAAGCAATTTGACGTTCACCATCTTCATTAGCAATGCAGTCTGCATTTCCTTCCTAGAACAGATCGTTTAGTTCAATAAGTTAGTTACATCTTGTCAATCTTGTCTCACCTTTGTGAGCACCGTGATTGAGGCATAAGAGTTTCCGAAGTTGATACCAACAACGGTTGGGATACTGGACACCTCAATAGGAGCCTCTTTTGTGCCGTTTTGTTCAGACATAGTGGTAGGTTTTTGGAAGTAGATGGTTAAAGATACACAGTTGTTAGACGCGATGTAACTTTTTTAAGTTTGAGATCGAAGAGATGATCGAGGATCAATTCGATCCAACCGATCCGGCGTATACCGACCAATCTCAGCGACTAGCCCGGTGACAACAGATTCAAGTGTAACATGGTAAGTCCTTTCATAATGTCACCAACTTTTTGCGAATACTGACTATGCATTGTTATACCCAAATTTCTCCCCGCAGAAATCACAAAGTTGCAGTAGCATACAGTGGAAATTACAGTTTCACTGTTCACACCATCACGATAACATTCCAGATCTAACCCTCAGAACGATTCACTATCTGGACAATGAGGCCAGCTTGAAAGCTGAAAGAGACAATCGATTCAGATCTTTGGCCTCATGTGACGCTCGGAGTCAAGCGAATGGGGATGAGAATAAATAGTGGTGGAACGCGCTTTCGCCAGTCTTAGCGACTCTGGCCACCCGCTACGCGAAAGGTACATATCGACCCCTACGCGCCTCCTTTCGTGTTTGTGCCCTCCTTTCTTCTTCACCACGGTTTTCATTCTACCTACCCGGCTCATGGCTCGCATCCGAGATACGAATGCCAAGAGTGCCTCTTTGAAAGGCAAGATTCGCGACTTCTTTGGTCCAAAACCAAAACCGCAGGAACAGTCAACTGTTCCTACACCAGCTCCAGTTATATCTAGGCCCACGCGTATCGCACCCAAGAAGGAGAGAAAGTCCCGCAAGCTATCTAACGATGAGAACGCCTCTCCATTTTCAAAGGATTCTAGCGTTACAATTCATCCGAATCCATCTGAGGCAACCATCTGTCCACGCGGGATAAAGAGGCAGGGAAGTAACGACACAATCAAGGCTTCCCCGTCTAAGAGGACATCTCTTGCACCTAAAACCGGCATTCTGACTACGCGCAATAAGCCTTCCTCTCTTGTGTCTAGTGTCACTAGTGGCGAGACAATCTCAACCAAGAAGGTCACCTTTGATAACACGGCATCAGATGAAAGCTCTCGTCCTCCTACTCGGCGACAATCTCGTGGAATCAAACCCCTTACTGCTGTATCTTGCGCACCTCCCTCCATCACCACCGATTTCTGGGACGATGATGACTTTGACCACACCAAGGTGACGGTTCTAGGTACTTTAATAACTAAATAATAGATTCATATCATCGCTCACCGTTTCTAATCACTTTAGAAGTTACTTCTCATAACGAAAGTCTTGTTACGCCTCCCTCGTCGGTAGCTGGTCGCGCCCCAGGCGTGAAGTCTCATAAACGCTCCAACGCTATCTCTTTCTCTTTCACAAAACTTAATAAGCTGAATGAAGGCGACGAAACCCTTTCTGCACCTATGGCCCAAGTCCTTGGCACAGATTCGAGAGGGACTGCCGACTTGCAGTCCAGGTTGTCCAGATATGTTTCTCTTGAAACGTCACCTACAGCTGGGAGACGATCGCTGAAAAGGACAGGCTCGTTCATCATGGCTTCTCCAACAAAAGATCCTCTGAATGACGAGTTTGATGCTCAATTCCCTGATGTTAAGTTGGCTACTATCGGTGTGTGTCATCATCGTTCACCTATCGCCTTCTCACTGACAAGTATTAGACTCCACTGATGCTCGATCAGACACTGACAATGGAGAGCTAGGTGCGTTGATCCGAGTCTCCCACATGCCTCCTCCATCAAGGGGATTATCTGCGCGAAACTCGTTAAGGAACTCTACTCATGGTGCCGGAAAATTGCTGAGTCGCTTCAGTGTGACGATTATGCCATGCCAAAAGGAAATAACCCTATGGGATCATTCGCCAGAGTATGTTGCTATCACTTTTCTGTCTTCGAAAAGTGTCTGAAGCCTTATCTCTAGCGATGTCTTCATCTGGTCCGGCATCCTATGCATCACAGACGCAGAATACAAGGCTACTGGATTCGAGCTTCGCGTCCCGGTAAAGAATATTGACATCGAGTTCAGGAGCGTCGATGATAACGCCAAGGTACAACACGTCAATGGACTACCTTGCCACGCCGAAGACCCTGCCGGTCGACCTCCAGCTGAATTTTCTGTCTTTTATAATGGTCACAGCGCCCCCCACAACCGTGTCAAGAATGAACTTTCCGAACACAGAGGTATCTGTATCGAAGGTGCCTGGCGCACCGGACCCTTCTCCTCACTCTCCAGTGTCCTTGAGGTCCAACCTCCCGCGGGCACGTCTTATGCTTTGAGGTTCTACGTCCCTATCCCAGCGAGACTGTTCACGACGGGGCGCGAAAGTAGATACTTCAACGTCAAGGCTAAAGTAACTATGGGCGACTACAATCTGCAGCCGGTACCCGCTTGTTCTGGTATTCAAAAGGTTTTGATCGAGCATCTGAGGAGGGAGAAACATATGGATGGGAAGAGGGGATTGCCAGTTGCTCGGTCTCACGCGAAGGCTGCGTCCTGGTGACAAATGACTTGGTTGTTTCTTTTATTTTCTTTGTATTTTTGTCTCTAGCTGGTTTCAGATTCTATATATTCCCTTTCGGTCCATTCATTATTAAAACACCGATGCCTTCTGGCTGTCGAGGGTACTGCGTTGGTATGGATGTGCGGATTGGCAAAACCCGAAAAAAGTTGTAATCTCCCTCGGCAAATACATCTTGCTCAAACTCGGAGGTGAAAAAACTCTCGTTTCCTTACCATGAGTGATCTTATTTCGTACGTCTTCTATGTCTTAACAGTAGGAACCACGTATATCTCTTCGCTTGACTAAGGGCGACCAACGGTCTGCTTTAAAATTAGTCACATCTACATAATATTCATCCCTACTCAGTACTCAGTGAGTAGGTCAGCTGTGGAAAACCGAATTTTGACTTCGCAAAAAAGAAACGCTCCGATACGGGGAGTCGAACCCCGAGCTACCGCGGCCAACCTCAGAGTCCTGAAAGGCGGTAATGTTAGCCGTTACACCATATCGGATTATCACTTCTGATTTTTACGCTTTCAGCAGCCATTCGCACAGTGTACGTGGTTTGAGGCAAGTGCATTACTGAAGTCACTGAAGTGCGATGTACATGTGCTTTTTGAAAATACATTTTATTGTTGGTTACCTCAGTCATACTATCTTGGTTTTCTTGAATTGACGCATGTCAGGCTTTCATTAGACATACCATTAGTCACAGTAATCATGATTATCTGTGGACATTTTGGGGATATGAACGTACAAGACACACGCACTTCTAACGTCTAATACACTCCGAAAACATCGCGTTTAAAGCAATTCATCATTATGAAATGCAAATAACCAACTAAATAAGAGTACAACCGTGGCGGTCAAATACAATAAAAAAATAAAAATACGTTGAATGACAAATTCTTTTGGCTCCGTTACCTCTTCCTAGGATGGAAAGTATGGAGTGCCCGAGGTATGGATTGAGTAATCCTGTCAGGGCAAGATGGTCTTGTTGTCAGTGTTTCGACGGCCTTCGCTTCGGTGGTATGGATCAATGTCCATCCCAAATTCGAGACCGGAGTGCGTTCCCGTTGCTTGCAATGGCGTCCAGAGGGACCTTGAATTGCTGGATTACGAAGTCTGAATACTTCATTGTAACCTTCCAAGAATCGTGGTTACCACTGGCGGGTCGAATTCTTCTTTAATGTTGACATGACAGTATCAATCCAAGAAATATTACTTCCGAATCCGAGGGCGTAAAACACGATCACAAGGAGGAGCTGGTACTTGCCGCCGCTGAGCTGGACGAACATCTTGCTTTCTATCGCCTTCGTCGTTGACATGAGCAGTACGTTTGCGTCGGTGGCCGTCGTCATCTTCAGGTTCAAGGTCGTCTCGGGTCCGCTTCTTGCCACGCTTGCCTTTTTTCGCTGGTGGGGCCTTGATCCGGGGTTTTGGCTGCAGCTTGGGTTCAGGTACGTTTACTTCCTCGTCAAGGTTACTGTCTTGATTAAGCTGTCCTTGGGGCGAGATCTCTTCAGCTTGAGCACCGTGTACCTCCTGCCCACTCCAGTCGGTATCCCCACTCCAGTCGGTATCGGGATTGTTGAGGATATTATCAAAATGTGAAACGATGCTATAGATGTCCTTTTGAATCTCTGCTTGGTAGTCTTCCCAGATCTTCATCTTCTCCTCGCTATCCTTAGAAGCAGCAACCTTCCAAACGTGGTCTCGATGAAAACGACGGAATGAATCGAAGAAATCCTGCAGCGGTTTACATTCAAAAAGGGTTTGCGGTGTTCGGACCCATCCATATTTCAAACTACCGCCGATCATAATCTTGCCCCTGGATGTATCGAAGACCTCCTCGACTTCTTCGAAGACTCGCATAGAGAAACGTCCGCTATATTTGAAGTAGTGAATAGCGAAGAAAAGAAGAACCCATAAAAGGGATTCGAGGTCATCGAAGATGTCGTGCTTCTTCGGCATGCTGTCCAGCAGATAGATGGAGAGGAATTGCCAAGTTCCCTATAAACCAGTCAGTAAGTGTTATATATCAGCACAAAAATCCGTCATACGAATCGGTTAGTCCCCTCCGCGTCGACCCTCCCGGCTCGATCCCAGTCATTGAGAACTCCCCAAGGTCCCTCGCCACTCCCTCGCCTCTCCGTCATCATGACATTCCCCTTGCTGACATCACGATGGAAGATATTAGCTTTATGGAATGCACCGGCTATCGCTACGAAGGAAACAGTAAGCACTATATCAGCAGTCAAACACCTGGAATCGTACCGTACAAGACATCCCTCCCAACGAGCAATAGTTCCCTCGCGTTCTCGACATAGTCGAACGGAATTAGGAGCCCCGCGACGATCCGTACATGGATCATATGGTGGATAGTCCCGGTGGGCTGTCTCCAACATTCTGTGCTGGGGTCGGAAAGAAGAGTGTCATTCGCTGTCTCCTGGGTGCGCGAGTCGACTAGGATGTCGCCTGCACATCTAACATCCGGAAGATTGGGTACTCCCTTGGCCTTGAGCTCGTAGTATATACTTGCCTCAGATTCACTCGAGTCTGGTCGCCAGCTATCCTTGAGCCAGAAAAGCTTCCCCTTATCGGTATCTTCAGTATCGATACATCTATCCGATGGGACGGGTACCGCAATATAACCACGAGTAAATCGACCACAGGGTAGACTGTTGACAGGGATAGTGCTGCATTTGCACGCCAGATACCAGTGTACTCCACCACTGATATCGTTCACTTGTATCTTCAGAATTGGGCCATCGAGACTTGCTACGCCGGGATGCGTGCGAAGATCGTTGTTCTGTACCCGTTCAAAGTACTCTGTGATGCAAGTCTGGAAGCGCGCCCGTTCCACATCGTCCGCAAGGGTCACAGTTGGATCATAACCTCGTTCAGCACGAGATAAAGAAGAGTAGCGTGCAAAGAATTCGTCCAGAGGTCTAGGATCCTTTCGAAAGCAGATGACATCCGAGACAACGATACAAGAGGGATCGAAGCGATAAAGGCGAGCACAGTCTCCATAGATATCCACAGCGAAGACAAAGAGGCGGTGTTGAGATTCCATCAGGCGAGCAGCATAGGAGAACATCCGACCACGGAATTCTTTGGCCTTAGTAGATTCATCCTCGAAAGCCCGGTCATCATCAGGAGTGTCGCTATAGCCGTCAAGATATTGGTCTGGCCTCCACTCGACGAAGAAGTCCATAAGACCCCAATCACAGGGAGACGTCCTCTTGACACCAGACGGATAGACTGCGGTGTCAGGGCAGAGTTTGGGACCAAGCATGGGGTCGTTCTCTGTACAAGCTGAGAGAGAAACAAATTCGAAGCCAGGGCACATGTCCCCCATCGTCTTGGTCTATCACGGGGATACGTTAAGGATCACTAATTATATAAATGACTTAGACTTACGAATGGTTTGTATCTGCGTCGGGTCGGTATACGGTGTAAGATGCTTTTCTTGCTCCTGTGATTAGAATACCGAGCTTTTGGTTTGGGTAGAAACTTGTCTAGAAAGTCCTGAGCAGGCATGGGGCCGATAGTACAATGCTGGGTATGCAACGCAATATGGCGATAAGCCTTTCTAGCATCAGAGTCAAATTCTGGCGCGGAATAAAGAGAGGACATGACGAAGAAGTAAGCAGTGGATAGAAGAGAGGGAATATCGTTTGTGTCGCTTGCTAATAACCCTCTTAATCTCTGTCACGTTCAACTGATTTGATGATGCTACTCACAAGGGTTACGCTGACGCTAGAGTTCGATTTCAACCAAGCTCGCGTAAAGGTGGTCTCCTCAAGAATGAAGCCAGTCGTTATTAGTGCAAAGGTAACGGTATACACAAGGGGAGGCGCGATCATACGCATCAATCCAAAGTTACCTTGGTGTCACAGTCGCGTCGCGTCACATGTGTGATGAACTCCAAAATTGTGTCTAGCGACTACTTGCAGAACCATAAATACGATCAGCCGAATCGTACACTCTCAGACCCTTTCATTGCTATCTCATTGTCTTTTCCTGTGGTTGTGGACTCCCCGGGCTCGTGCTGGGTCGTAGTCGCTGACAGAAGGGCGTATGCTGGCATGCCTTTTGGAGCCCCCCTTACTCAAGCAACCGGACCTCAGTTTTGATGCTATTGCTATTCCCTGTTGTTGTGGACTCCCCGGGCTCATGCAGGGTTGTAGTCGCAGACAGAAGGCCTTACATTGGCATACCTTTTCGAAGCCCCGAAAACACAAGAAGATGTACTACAGTGTCAACACCTGTCGCCAAAGCCTCTAGGCCTCACAACGGTCTCCCTTACTGTGCTGGAACCCTAGACAGGTGTTGTTGTACCAAAGTCGCGAACGAACGGGGATGGATGCGCTCACTGTCATCTTGGATGTAACAAAGATAGGGGCTACTAGAAGAAAGACAGGCTGCTATCGAGTAACTCTCTTTCCTGGACTCCGTGCTTTCTGTCGACCCCCCTGACCCATTGTTAACGATGTCTTCTCAGACGGCATGGGTGGATGCCAGCCATGCACTGTGGATGTACTTGAAATAGGGGCTATCACTATTTTTACATAGGCACTCCCTTGAACCCTTCCGAAGACGTTATGTGTTGAGCACTACCATCCCCGCTACGATAATATATTTCTCTATGTGAAATAGGCCTTGCAGAGTCCAAGTGCTTGAGGATAGATGGCTTCGCAATTGCCATATATATTCAAATAGGGGCTTGCACCGTTGTGTAGTTGCCGTAACTTGTTTATCCTCAGATGCTACATATATCGACTTCAAGGCATTGACACCATTGGAATGCTGATGTGCCCAGATCTCATTCCACTACCTCCTCTACTCACCAGAGCTTGAAAGCGAATATATGCTCTCAGGCTCGAGCTGGGAAAGAGATGTACCGGCATGCACCAATTGGCCTATGATGTCAACAGGTGAAGTTTCAACATGGTACACTTTCCGCTACTACAGCTCCACATCCATCATGCGGAGAGGAGGGGTTTTTATTTATTTTTGTCCTGCACCACAAATAGTATCTGACCAATGTCACACCCTCACACCGCCAGACCCTCGCACGTCTTACCATAGGAAGCATATTTCAAAAGCAAGACGAGTAACTGCCCGGTGAAGAATTGGGGTTGTCAGAAGGCTACTATCATCCATACCCTAGCATGCACAAAACAAACTTCCTTACAGTTACTCAGCAGGGTATTCATGTTATTGGATGAGGAGCTGGTACGAACTACTATGGAATCTCAAGCAGTCTGATGAATTCAAGGCCTATTGGCTTAGTTATGGATTCATGCGGTATGTTACAGGACGGTATACAGTTCTAATCTGTACAACTTATACACCACCATGCTAGTCCTAGGACGATGCACTACATATCGACGACAATTCTGGAGGTATATTCTCGTAGGCAAATCTAGAGTAATATTCTCATATAGAGATATGCTTTTCTCTGCCCATAGGTTTTTCCCACAGGGTTTTCCTTAGGCTAGAGTTT